GAAGGTAAAAAGTTATAAAACATAATCAACGTGATCACAAACTTTAAAAAAAATAAAAGGTTTATTGTAAGATCAAATATGTTTATTTAATCTTCTTTAATGATCTTGGAGTGAGATGTGGTACTTTTTGTCTACATTAATGAGTTGACGAGTTTGTTAGTTGTTTACTACTGTTTGTGCAGATAATTATGTAAATACATTATGTGACAATAAATACATGAATCGTGCGATGATGTATGGAATACATAATTGGTTTAATAATTGTATTACATTACTGACCGTGATTTCAGCACAAAAGATTTTTAAGTACTGGCACCTAGGTAGGTAAGAGAGGAGAGGGGGGATTGAGGATGTATTTCCCATGATGGTATGGACCGGTAAACCATAACCAGGGATAGGGTAAGAATATTGCTTATATAATGTAAATATCATTACCGACACGTTCGGATTCAAACTTAGACAATCCAAAAGCTCTTAGAAATTGACTGAGTCCTAATTATCTAACACGCATGGTGCTTTGAACAGTCGACGAACTTCCATCAATAATTTAATCATAGTCATGTTTTAACTATTCTTTTCGTATTTCACCATAATCACTACAGGTCGCTTTGCATATGGTGCTGTGAAACAAAGCACCTCTTATTTAGTTTATGACCGCCCATAAATGTTTATGTTTATGGGCAGTATGTTGTCTATTGTTCAGGATAATAATCAAGGATTTCAGGAACGAAACAATGTAAGTAACAATACAAGGAAATCCGTAATGGTAATGTATCATTTTCATAAATATTAACATAAAAGAATGCTGACAGAATGAGAGATAACAGCAGTCAACCCATTTCTTGAGTCAAATTGAGTTAAATTTCATGTTTTAATCCTTTAAACTTAATTCCATCGACAGCAAAATTTGTTTTATGAGACATTTGGTATTTTAATTATATGTTGATAATTTTTTTCATAGGCTCAGAGGTAAAAAAAAATATACATATAAATAAACTGAAGAAAACATTTGGTCAAGTAATAAAGTATTGAATACGTTAAGATCAATTAAAGGCATATCCATCCAATTAGGAACAAAATATAAACTTATGAATTTTCTCATTTTATATTTTATTATAGCGAAATAATTAACTATTACAACTAGATTAACATAATATATAATATCTGATTTCTTTGTGTTAAATTATTAAAACAGTAAAGTGTAATATATCTTTCTTTACATTTATTATCTTCTTTAGAGTTTATTTCTTTTCTCAGTGTTCTTTAAAATTATTTGTTATGTGTTAGATTGATTTAGTTCCTTAAACGCTTTGCTTGTTGTTTGTTATGAATTTTCTCGATGTGCATAGTGGTGCAGACGATTGAAGAGTTTTTCATGAAGCATGGTTCGTGGGGTTTTCTGCATGCGATACTCGGCGGTTTGATTTGCCACTAGCATCTTACAGGAATGGTTTGACTGCCTGTTATGAAATTTTTGAAATGTAGCCAGTGCTGATTTCAAATTTCTTCGAAGACTGAAGGTTTAGAAAAAAAAATGGCATACGTTGTCCTGTTTAACTGTTCTTTCAGTTTCAGCTAATCACCACGATTTCTATCTGATGATGATATTATGGACAAATAGAAGGCTATGTTGTGATATTGAATATTTCTTCTTCCCCAACAAACTATCAGAAATCATTTTACTAGTGTATTATGTATTAACTTTGTAATTGATCATTCTCAGTGGTTAAGAAAAACATTGGAACCATTGAAATCATGGTTTTATTATAATATAAACAGTTTTTTTTTAACTGTAATATCTGATGTTTTGAAGAATCCTAATTAAAATTAATATTTGGAAGAAACTTCACAGTTTGAAATTTTATATATATTATAAGTACAAATATTTTATATCCATATGTGCTTATTTTAGTTTGTTTTTTTTTTTAATATTATAAAATAAGGCTGTGTTTTATTTCTTCACCATATTTATTTTAATTTATAGGGTCATTTCGGCCGGTAAGCCATCTATAAGATAATAATCCTCTTTTAATAATAACCATTAAGAAGTGAGTAGTATAAACAAAGATATAACAATGTGCAACCTCCCAACCACGCTTATAATTGAATCTGATTTTGGACTACATGCAAAAGCATTGTTTGATATAGTAAGGATGTTTTAAATTTTATTTATTTATTGAGTATTACAACCATCTGTCTCCTGGACATTGGTGTATAGTGAGATAGGATGACATTCACACTATTTTAAAATTTAAAATAATTTATAAAGGATGGAGATGATCCGGGGTGGCGGTCATAAATAGACTAAATAGTGGCATAACTATTTTATTAAAAACCAACGTTTCGACCCGACTTTGTAGGTCTTCTTCAGGGCTAGAACGGACAAGATACAAAAAGATAGAGAATTATGGAAGTTACATAATATTTAGGAAAAAAATTATAAACAATGTGAATAAGCTTATTAAAATTATAAACAGTAAGCACATTAAAATACAGAATAAGCTAAGTAACAAGAGCCTAAACTGAAGTAAATAGATGGTAACAATTGTTACCGGTGTAATATATAATATATGCAAATGTGAATATACTTCTACAGATCTACAGGAGAGATTGAAAGAAAAGGAAAAAGGATAGAATATGAAATAATTGACATAAAGGAATGTGGAGAAACAAAAGAAAACCAAAAATTAAACAAATAAGTAAATAAAAATATTGACTTACAGGTGTGTTCAGCTAGCAGTTTCACTTAGGACTGGAAAACCAGGGTAAGGGCAGGTATTGGGAATTTGCTGACTTGTTTGAGTAATGGGGAAAATCTAGAAAACCCATTCTATATCTTTTTGTATCTTGTCCGTTCTAGACCTGAAGAAGACCTGCAAAGCCGGGTCGAAACGTTGGCTTGTAATAAAATAGTTTTGCCACTATATAGCCTATTTATGACCGCCACTCCGGACCATCTTCCTTTATAATGCTACGGTCAACTATTAAATATTCAATAAAATAATTTATGCCTGTTGACCTTACCTTGACATATCTGGAATTGAAGACAAAAGCAACATCATTCTATCAAGCGGTACTGTTCATTTAAAAATTAACTGGTAATATTAATAACAAATTTAAGAAATTGACTTAACCTAATTACGATTATAATTCATAGAATATTAAATTAAATAGGACCAATACCACTATCATAGAATGCAGAATTGCATCAGAATGTAAAATCAATGGTGTTTATCTTATACATAGCTTGAAGGTGGCTTACGGGCCGAAACGTAGCTATGTAAATTGATATAAATATGGTGAAGAAATAAAACGCAGCCTTATTTTATAATACAAATATTTTCTTAATCCGATAATGGTCCTTTTCCTCAAAATAAAATTATAATTTTTTTTTTATTCTAGTTTAACAAAAGCTGACAGAAATTCATTCTCTTAAGTTAATAAGGAATAATCTCATTTTACAGAAATGTTTTGTGTGTGTTTGTCAGAGCTTGTTCAACGTAAATTTAGCTCCACACAGTTTGTTACACAAAACGGGTATTTTCGAAAAGTGTGCTGGAGTCAAGAACTTTTGTCATAAAGTTTGCATAAATATTTGTTTATGTTCCAATTGTGAAAATGGTTAATTTACAAGATGCTGATTTTCGTTGAATTTTTTGCAGATTGAAAAAAAAATTTTATTTTTTATTTTCAACTTCCTTACTGCAGGTTTTTTTTTTTTTTTTTTTTTTTTTTTTTTTTTTTTTTTTTTTTTTTTTTGTTTTATCTCTGAACCTTTCGTATTCTGTCAACTATAGAATTGTATTTAAATGGTTTTATTTTTCAAAAATAATTCTTACAGTTATAACTTTAAAAAGTGATTTTTTTACATTTGTCACCTTGTTGCATTCATTACTTCGTTACAAAGTTTGACTAACTTGTTTTTAACATTGAGATTACTAGCATTACTGTATCTTCATTATCTAACACACCCGATAAACTATATCTAGGCAGGTTACCTGACAAAGTTCTAACTGAATGAAGTTTTTTCAGTTTGACAAGGTTTTCCTGTATACCGAAACTCTCAATATATAAACTCTCAGTTAAAATTGAAGGTAAAAGTTGTAGTGTTCTTGTAATGAAACCAGAGATCTATGAACTGAGTTTACTAATTCAAAAATTATAAAATTTGCTAATTTTCAATACTCCAGTTACCACTCTTTCAATATATCACTTTTTGTATATTAAAATATTTTATGGATTCAGTCAAACGAGTCTCATTATTTCTTTGAACGGAAGTTCAATTCGAACATATTTGTCGTTTCTTCGCAAATATTGAACAGATTCAATTATAAACATTTTATTATTATTATTTTTATATATTAATAACATCTAATGTATATTCAACATATGAGCTTAGTCTGTAGCTTAATATCTGTGCTAGTGGACGATGCTCAGGCTTTCCCTGGCGTGAGGTATCGAGGCTCTATTTTAAAATATTGGAGAGGATCCCATTACTAGCTAAAAAAAAAAAAAATAACGGGATCGAAATGTCGAATTAATGACAAAAACAATGAACAATTTGTAGTTTATTGAATACTAATTTAGTGACCTATAATGATAATAATTTGATAAAAATGTTTCTGCGCCACGGAATAAAGTTTTTTATATAGTAAAATAATGACAATAATATTAGAATGTTAACGCGAAATCTTAGAGAAAACATCAAATATATTTGAATTTCTCTTTCATCCAAAGAATGATGAAAAATCTCATATGACTGCAGCCACCAAAAACTGACTTTTTGAAAACGTAACTGAAGTATTGGATATTAGCATTTTTTATTTTCTTCAAATTGATATAGCCAGTACGTAGAAATCTGGTTTCATTACAACCAGCGTTTACATTAGCTTTTAATGGAGTAGATATATAAAAGATTTTTAAATAAATACAATGAATTTGAGACTCTGTAACATTTAATTTTTGCTATTGATGGCTAACTTGGAACTATAACTTTGCAGCTGGAGAATATCCCGCGGCCATGCAGCACGGGGAACATGGAGGCTCCAGTTCCAGTTGTGTCGCCCAGCTGTCATGCCACTTCCTCGTCGTCCTACTTCTTTCACTCATGATGGCCAGGTGATTCCTCCAAGAGGTGGCGGAAAAGCCCTTCACAGCTCCCACACCCACCCGTACCCACTAAACATTTACAGCATGATAAGTATAAGAAATTTATAAAATTGAAAACAAAAAAAAATAACATTCTACATGGCTCATTCTAGTTGTTCACCTGATTTTATGTGTACATTTACAATTATTAAAAAAAAATTAATAATTATAAGTAATATTTCACTATTGTGTGTTTAGATTAGCTCAATACCTTTAAATGTAAAAAGTTTTTAAGAGAATGAAAACATCTATGTAATATATTAGTGATTTTTCAGGTTGAATATTTTCTATTCGTTTATTCTTTTCAATAATATATATCTTCTGTTCGATTTTTTGTAATATACAGTATTTATATATTGGATGTATGTTTAGTGAATACAAAAAAAAATTGATAAAAAATATTGAAGTTGGAAATTTGAATGTAAAAAGTGTATAGATGTACAGAATTTAAATGGAAATTTCGAATGTTATCTCTCCATTATATTCGTCTGTAAATAATATAATTTAAAAAATATATATGATATTAAAATGTCTGTATTTAGGGGTCGGTTAAGTTTAGACGGTTGTGAAGAGCACATTAGTGAAGGCCTATCTGACTCGTTGATGTATCAAAGGTTTATTTTCTCTTCATAATAAATTTAAAAAATAAAAAATTATATTATTGAGACTATATTTATAAATGTTATAGAGAAAAAAAAAGTGTATCAACGTTTATTGAACTGTGGAGGAATTTTGAGAGTGAAGTGTCGGATCGTTTGGAAGGAACGTTTCTTGGTATACTTTAAAATTTAAGTGTGATTTGAACTTTGTTGCCCGGACTTGGTCTGGTATATCGGATGGAAATTGGGCACGTGAACATTCCATTCATCTATATGTGAAATAATTATTTTAAAAGAGATGTAAATTATTAATTGTATTAGTTGTTAATTTTTAGAAATAATGTTTAAAGAGAAGAGGAGCACCGATAATTTATGTTTGATTATGTGTAAATACGTTGTCATGGTAACAATCAGTAGTCATACTTGTACTAAAAAAAACAACAAAAAAACTATTTATGTGGTATCTTTGTACCCCTTGTAATTATAAGTATCAGTCTACAATACTGGTTAATAAAGGAGCTATAATTTATGTTTTCTTTTCTTTTTTCATTGCCCATCATCCCCCAACATGTATTTTTCTTATTAAATGAAATAAGTATATGTCATAGTTGATTAGAAAAACAAAGACAATTATAATAGATGGAATTTTCGAAAGAATAGCCAGTATTAAATATTTATAATATACTTATTTATTTATAAATATAGATAACCAAATATTTTTGACGGATTGTAGGAAAGTTTCAAAGCAGGTAGTGGAAGGTTTTCTTTTTTATTGAATAATATAACATTGTGTCACATGGAAAATGGCTATATTGAGGTAAGACTAACTACATTCACATTACGTATACAAAAAATATTTTTAAAAAGTATCAGGATAACAACTATATAAAAATCAAAAAGTATATACCATAAATAAATAAAAACAACTTAAAGTTTGTAAATTAAAAAAAATATAAAACAGACATCCCTGTGTACACTATTTATAATAAGGAGAGGGAAAGCCAAGTTTGTCTAAACGCATCAATTCACGCATAAAAAAAAAAAAGGTGGATATTCCCAAAAAATTAATTCAAAGTAATAAATAGAACGTTTTGCAATAAATTGACGTTATAATTAAATCGGTTATTTATATTTCTATAAGTAACATTTTCGATTTCTGTGATAAAATTAAAAAAAAAAATATTTTACATAAATTATTAAATACAAAAATATCTTATTGAAGCAATGGATCTTTACGTCATTTAAGCAATGTTTTTTTTGTGTTTTTGCACTATATAATTCGTCTATGAACATTGTACTAATAAACATCCTCAACTCTAAACTTGTGAAAATGACACATGTCGTTTCTGTAGTAACTCATATATATGATATAATAAAATATTTTATAGCGTAAGATAATAAAACCATACAGATGATTATGGTGGCATTCGAGAATAGAAGTTAATGAAAAAGTCACAAATACTCTTGCGAAGTCACAGTTACTTTCCACTATCATAGAGTGGATGTTCCTATATGATACATCAAAGCAGACACCAAGAAGGATACAATAGTCAAATGGAAACAAGCCGAGGCCACTTCATCAAAATCACCAAAATGTCTTCATAGACTTATTCTTCTAATCACATATCGCAACTGGTACAAAATGACGCAAATCCTTATTGAATACGGGCAAACTACACAATATTTAGCACGCTGTAACATACCACACGACGCACAGATACACAATGTTCAACATTTAAAATTCTACTGCAGGCAACTAGACTATATTCGCACTATATTGATACATAACGATATATTAAAACAATGGACGACCAGAATATAGCACAGAGACTGATTTAAATTTAAAAGTATTTTTTAAATTTTACAAAAAAAAAATAATTACTGATATATTGACTATTGACTGACGTAGGAAGGAAATTTAAGTTAAGTAAAATATGATCATCTTACTTTGTTGTGCTTTATCGTTGTTTATTTTTTTTTTTTTCTTATTCATTTTCTTTTTGGTATTTATTTTTTTTTTATATTTTATATATTGCCCTTCTGGCCCGCAATACTAGTAATTCAACTGAGTGAGAGGCGCCGGGATCTCTTAGAGTCTTGTATTTCCTTCAACGAATGGATGGAAAGGATTGGCTCGGAGTTCTCCTGAATGAATGAATTTCGTAAATTATGTATAAAAGTAGGCTTGTATTCAATTTCTTTTTCTTACCTATATACATTTACTTTTATTTTGCTGTTTAATTTTTTTTTTTTTTTACTCTCTGAATATTATTTTAAACGTCCTTAACTGAAACGGATCGCAATATTTCTCAATAAATTAGTTTAAAAGTGAAAAAAGATAATACATATTTTTCCATTTTACTATCTCATACTTTTCTTTAATTTTCTTTTGATGCTATCTTTATCTAATTTAATCATTTTATCAAATCAATATTGCGTATTACTCCTGTTGAACAAATCCGATACCTTGGACTCCACTTGGGCAAACGTCTAAATTGGAATCCTCATACCAGAGTGAAACGACAAGAAACCGCTCGACGTTTCCGACTACTCCAGTACTTACTAGACAAACGCTCTAAGCTTCCAAATAATTACAAAAGACTGATATACATGACTACAATAAGACCTATTTGTACTTGCGGAGTTGAGCTTTGCGACTCCACTAAGCCATCGAATTCCTCTCGTATCCAATCCAAAATCCTTCGGAAAAAATTCTCAATGTTCCTTAATTTGTCACCAATAGAATAATCCATAACGACCTTAATTTTTCTTACGTTACCGATTATGCCCAATCCAGATACCTATTCGTAATAAACAACCGAATCCTCTTGTCCCTAACCTTGCTTCCTCTTCAATCCCTGATAAATCTGCGAGGCGTCTGAAAAGAAGATGACCAAGAGATATCCTATTGTAAATACATTTTTATGTTTTTAGGGTGCTACCAGTGGGTAGTTTCTCAACAAGTGATGATATTAATTTTTTTATCTAATTTACTAAATGTATTTTATTTATCAATACAGTTGTAAATATCATAAATAAATAAAAAAAATTGCGAAAAATCTAACTTTATAATGTATTGTAACTATGCAACATGTATTAGATGCAATGAGTCTAATGTTAATAGGTATGACTTATGTAAAAATCCGAGATATCTTAATAAAATCACCCGTTTTAGGGTTTGTAAGTGTGTATGTGTATAAATATATATATATATATATATATATATATATATATATATATATATATATATATATATATATATATATATACCTACGAACATTACACTTCATGTTTTAATATAATATCAACTGTCCTTGAAAAAGGAGGTGTACTTTGTTGTTGAATTTTCACAGCTTTATATATTGGATATCTATATTGAACGACATTCTTTAAATACATGAGCTGATTAAAAGATCACAAAGGAATTTCCGGGACCAAATTCCTATGAGTATTCTCTTGTAAGCTGATACTAATTTTGCCAATGTTTTTGAAATAAATTACATTTTTGTACATTATTTGAATTTTTCATTACTTTTTTTCGGATCAGGGTAACGGAATTCCTGAGTACGTCAGCGCTTAATATGCGAAGTATTTAAATAGTGATATGTGAACATAGCCTACCAACTTCCGATGTTTTGAGTATAAACCATCCACCAATTTTCAATATTTTTTTATCTAAACGACTTTTTTTTTTAAACATTTTCATTTTTATCAAATAAAAGAAATTAAGAAATAAATAAAATCGATTCACTTACCAGAATTAAAAATAAATAAATTCATTAAAAACACCAATAAAACTCGGTGAAACTTGAATTCAATTTAAAAACGAAAAATAAAAAAAAAATTGAAAAAATACTTCTTACACGAAGGATAAATAAAGAATTCAAAATGGGAATTGATTGAAATGAAACAGGAATGTATTTTATTTTCATTTAATAACACTAGAACATATGATGTGAATGAACTCCTATATGCCACTATTACTAGATTCCTTAATTGTGGCAACATGTAACATAATCCAATAAAGAATTGTTAAAAAAATATAATATTAGCCAAAAATGGTATGATAAAATTTAATGGGAAATAATTTATAATAAATTCAAAGTCTATGAATTGTAATAAACAATAAATAAAAAAAGTGTTACATATCAATATTTTATCAAAACAGTCTTTTTATTGTTCATAAAAAAAATAAAAAAATGATAATTTAAAAAAAAATAAATAAATAAATTTTGAAATTACAAACTGTCCTATTGTGAATTTCACGTGTTGTATTTGGATACATATATTCACACGATAAAAAATATTTTTAAGATGATATACTTACACAAAACATGTAGGTAATAGTCCGTGGTACTATACTTTTTTATCGAATTATTAACATCCGCCTAAAACTTTGTAAATAGTTTCATCTCATCGTAACCAACTATTTTATTTACGAAAACTCTTGGAATTGGGTTTGTCCAATATAACCTCATTATTTTGAAAATTTTGGGGTGTAGGTCACGCCAAACGGCTCAATATTTTTGAAGATCACCTTTTTTCTCGATTCTGTGATGAAATTATCTTACGATCCAAGTAGGAAAATAATGGGTATTTACATGTTTTTAGTAACTAATTAAACAGACAAAATTTGCTTGAAAATGCCCCAATTCCAAGAGTTTTCGTAAATAAAATAGTTATAGGCTACGATGAGATGAAACTATTTACCAAGTTTC